AGCAGTCACATCCACAGATTGCTGCTTTTGAACAGAGTGGAATGGATTTCACAGCTTGCACTAATGAGAATCTCCCCTTCCTCTGCCTCATTAAAAAAATTAAGTTGTATGCAGAATTGTTGTCGTTGTGTTAGATAGTAGGACTGTGCTTCTTTTGGCCTTGGACCTTATAATCTGGATATGCCAACTCAGGTTGATCACAACTGTTTTCCTTTCTGCTACACATTAAAAGAGTATCTGTTCAGTGCACTGTTGTGTTTATTGTTTTGTCAGCATGGTAATCAGTTGTTTGTTTTTTTTCCCTTACCCTCAAGTTTAAGGCTGTTTCCATCTTGTACAGGTCAATGATTAAACTAGTTTAATGTTAAAACAACAAACCCCAAAATCCCAACTCCAAGCCTCATTTTTCTGAGCTGATGGATGCCACAGCTTATAGCTGGAGCATTGCATTTAAAAAGAAAGAGAGCAAATTTTATTACTGTAATGATGCATTGTGCTTCCAGCTGCAGCAGCACAAACCCCATCTGCCTGCCTGCCACCCTGTCCTTGCTGCCTCTCTTGCTTCCCTGCTGCATTTTGCATTTGTTTCCTTTCCCATTTTGTTTACCTCTTCTCCCACCCTCCCATTTCCCGATCCATTTGCCTCTGGCAGTCTCAGAACCACAATTCTCAGATTGCTGATTAATGTCTTGACGTTAGTAAGTTTCAGATTCAGTAGCAGGAGTGGGAACCCCACCAGGCATTGGAGAAGACTCTGACCTTCATCCTGGACTGCCTCAGCCCAACTCAAACATGCCAGGAAGGAGGAGATGCAGTTAATTTGGTGCTCCCCACCTGTTAACCTGGATGGTTCACTTCAGAACCATGACAATTACTGTAACCCTGCATTTGAGCAGCACCTTGTGACTCTTACTGTTTTAAACACTATGGTGTGTTTACTAGAATGAGATAATGGAGGACACCAAGACTTCTGCACAAATGTGTAGAAGTGCACGTTTATAAACAATTTTGTTGTGCAAAATCCATGAAACATGGCCTAAATGTTACTGAAATTAAACCAGAATGTATAATAAGTTATTTAATTAATGGAAGTTAAAAATCTAATTTTAGATAGAAATGGAGTGTAGCACTGGTGAGGCCACAACTCAAATACTGTGTTCAGTTTTGGGCCCCTCAGTAGAAGAGATGGAAGTGCTGGAGCAAGTCCAGAGAAGGGCAATGAAGCTGGTGAAGGGTCTGAAGTGCAAGTCTTATGAATAGCATCTGAGGGAACTGGAGTTGTTTAGTCTGGAGAAAAAGAGGCTCAGGAGAGACCTTATTACTCTCTGCAACTACCTGAAATGAGGTTGTCACGAGGTGGGGGTTGGTCTGTTCTCCCTAGTAACAAGTGTTAGGACAAGAGGAGAAATAGTTTTAAGTTGCACCAAGGGAGGTTTAGATTAGATTTTAGAAGAAACTGATTCACTGAAAGGGTTATCAAGCACTGGAACAAGGTGCTCAGGGAGGTGGTCAAATCACTATCTCTGCAAGTATTTAAAAGATTTGTAGTTGTGGTGTTTAGGAATACAGTTTAGCACTGGAGTTGGTAGAGTTAGGTTAATGGCTGGACTCAATGATCTTAAAGGTCTTTTGCAACCAGGACGATTCAATGATTCTGTGAAGTATCAACAATGGGAACCATATGGAACTTCTACACTGTCTCAGTCATAGTATATCCCTAAGTTCCTCATTTTACCAGTTCAGCTGCAGAGTTCTTAAATGAATGTGTGTGCATTTGTTTTTCTCTGTGTGATTGACTGTTTTGTCTGGAATCCCAAGATGTGCTGTTGGTGGCTTTGGGCAAGCTGGCTGGTTGTATCCGGCTCTGTAAAATGGGGAAAAGACAATATTTGTGGTTTAGTTTGTCATCTTTATGTTTGGCAACAGAAGAGTTTGATCTCTCAGGAACCTTTTGAGCTGACTATCTTAACAAAGCAGTCTGTGGTTTGAAGAGGAATTGTCTCAATCTATTTCTTCAGCAGAATTGCTGGGCTGGCTGGCTGGGGACTACTGATCCTCTCTAGCATCAACTGCCTGAAAGAAACAGCATAAATTAACAATTCTGTACATTGTCTAATACATGGGTGTCTTTTATTTTTCTGGATCAGAGAATTTGTATGCCAGTGAGATATACTTTTACTATTAGTATATACTTTTTTCTAAAATTAATTCAGTTTATGACCTCTGTTGATCCAGCTATATTTGAGTTGGTGTCAGCAATATGGATGCCATATTCATCAAGAGCTGAATGACAAGTTGTGATGACCATGGTGCTTTTAGGTAGCAATAATGATTGAGCTGGTTTAGAAGCAGGAAGTACAGATGCAGGCTCAGCATTTCACTGCTCATCCATAGTGTTCTGCTGCTGCTTAAACCTTTCTGTATCACAGCCTCTGCAGTGAGACTAGCTGTCAAGGAGGCCCAGGGAGAGACAATCAGTCAAACAGATTTCTGACTGATTATTTTTATCTACTGCTCCTAACCCTTGGTGAAAAATAGTAAGTGAGATAAAACTCACCTACTGAAAAAAACAACACACCTCTCATTCTTGAAAAACTTTAACTGCTTAAAGCTTGCTTATTTCCTTGTATTGCATCCAAGGAAGGGTATCCAAACAGCAGAAAATGTGGCTAGTTAATGACAAACAGCAGTTACGTTCAAAGGCCAGAATGACTAATCAGCCAATACTATGTGTAGAGATTTTTTTTCTCTTTATTATTTGCAGTTGTTATCTGTGTGATTTTTTTATCATTTTGAGACATGAAATAAATCAAGGTGATTCTTAATAACATGTATTTTGTCCTGGTCTGAACTAGACAAAGTGCTTGCTAACCTTGAAGCCTGCAATGGTTCTGCTCCAAAGATAAGCTTGCTTGCTCCTTTGCATACACAGCAAAAGTAGTGTAGAAAAGACTTGAATATGAAATGCTGCATGAGAACCAAAAAGAGGTAACATAGTTGTCTATTGTGGACTTCTAAAATGAAAGTTAAGCTCATTTGCATGTGAAAGCTCTCCTCTTCCAAACTTGCTGTTAGAAGAACCAAATGTTTAGAGAGTATTTGCTTAGTTATGGAAACAGCGTCTGCAGACTACCGTTTTTTTAGCTACATTGTCAGATTGACAAGGTTTTATTTTATCTGGATCTGAGTTGAAAGCACTCTGGAAATACTAGGTGCCTAATGCACAAGTTCTGTCCAGGACTCTACAGTGACAGCATTACCTTCTTGGAATGCCTCTCACAGATACTATGTTCTTCTTATTCTCAGTTTCAAGAATTAATGGATTCTCTCTAACAAAGCCAACAAACAAAGCCAACAGAACTAATGCATGTAACAACTGTGTCTATAATCAGCCATTCTGCTTTTTCTTTTACTTTGGAGGGAGACTTGGAAACATGAAATGCAAACATAATGTAAGCAGGGTGTGAAGTTGATATTTTAGTGACCTAAATAGAGTGCAGCATTTTAATGTCAGTGTTCATACATGCTTCAGCCTTTGACATACCTGTTTCTCACTCTGTTGGACCAGATATTTTATCTTTAGCTTGGTAATGTGAGGAATTTCCCCCCTCTGATTCAGCTGGACAAACACCCGAGATTAACTGCTTCAAAAGTCACACTTTTGTGGTGTTACACACTTGTATAGAACTGACTGAATGAAAGAGGTGAATTTTTTTATGGTTTTGACCAAAGGTAATTTAGGGACAAATTTTATACATTAAATTTTGCTGTTTGCTTTCACTGAGATTGGATTTTACCCTCCAACAAACACCCCCGAAGTAATTTGTAGGACTCAGGGTTCAACATTTGCACATAATCCAAAGAACTTTTGGCAAAAGAGAGTTGTGAATAAATGCAGCAAAGGATGGGGAAATCAAAACTATAAAATCCACCTGGATTATGATGAGTTGTTCACAGGAGCGTTATGCTCTCTGGAAGTGGCATATAACAATTTTAACTTCTGTTGCTTAAAAAGGGTAATGGTATAACCAGCAGAAAGTCACAGAAAGTAGATGCAACTTCTGAAAAAATGTCATCAAATCTGTAAGGTAATGAGAAAGTATATTACCATGACTGTAAACTCCCGAGATACTGATGGAGAGATCACAGAATTGATTTAATGGAAAAGCTAGGATCACACCAGAGACACAGAATAGATTGCACCTGGGACAATCTTGAGTTTCCATTTATAATTCTAATTACTAAGCACATTGTGTGTTGTCCATGAGTAGGAAGCCAGCTAGACAAAAGAGGCAGCAGTACCAAAAGGGCACATGGGGGAGGGAGTTGAAGCAGTGCCTTCTGCCTCTGGGAGACATCTCTAGCTCTCCTGTGTTTGCTGAAATTTTTTCAAACACTTAAAATAATCACTCCATAAAGTGGTTAAAAAGTCAGGAGAGTTGGGGGAGGGGAGAGGATGGTGTTGAGTAATCAAAGTTGTCAACTGGAAAGACATGGGTACCCCACAAAAGAGGGAGGGATCCAATGAAAAAAACGGGGGTTTTTTGTGTTTTTTTTTGTTTTTTTCCCCAAGTGTAGGCAGCATGTGTTTAGTTACAGTGCTTTGCAAAACTCTAGTGTACAAGAACTAAATGCCATGCAGATTTTAGTACAGGTAAGATCTTGTTTAACTAACACTGTTTGTGTTGAAGTGAAATGAGGAGTTGTAAGGTGCTTAGCAAGATGTTTATCTTTTTTAAATAAGAGGCTACCATTTCAGTGTACTACATTTCAGTGTACTTCATGCATTCTCAATAGCCATACTTCATATATATTTTTTTTAAATGAGAAAATCTTTTGTAAGCAGAATGCAAGGAAAAAGATTCACTGTACCCAGGAGGCAATTGTTTCTGGTGAAGTTTCGTAGATGTGATTATTACGCAAGCTAAATTGTTCTGTTATCTGCGTGTGTTGTTACTACATCAGGAAAATTGAATTCACTGTCTCCTCATGTCTTTCAGGTCGGCAAATTCCACCCTTAGATCCTCATGAAAGCAGTAACAACGGAGCAATCAAACTTGGAAAGCAGACTTCACAGACGGGTAGGCGGTGCTGCTGACCCGGCTTGATCTTTTCAGATTTACTTGAAAAACAGCACCATTTGCTTTTTCACTGAGAAAGGACTTCGTGATCTCAGTGATGTGGCTCCTTATTTTGAAAGCAGTAATATCAATACTTCCCATGAGCAATAATACAAGGACCAGAGGCAGAAGGCTTTACTTCAAAGAGATTTTGCGAAACAGTTGGAAAATCCTCTTTTAATATCCTGTCAAAATTACAGTGTCAAAGTACTCTGATTCTTTTTTTTAAGCCAAGGACTGGGTTTTTTTGTTGGTTTTATTTTGGTTTGAGTTGGGTTTTTTGTGTTTGTTTTTTTTTTAATAAAAACATCCTTTTATATATAAATTCTAGATTTACTGCAAAAACTTCTCTTCTTACATTGCAAAGTGGACTTTCTCTGTAATAATAGGAGGAAAAAACCCCACAGAGCCCGACTTCTGGCTTACTGTTTCTCTACCATCTTTCTAGCTGGACTCTGCTTCTGTATTTTTCTAAATTTGTAGCTTCATCTCATACTTTCAGTAAACATAATCAAGAAATGGACAAAATTTGCTAACTAGAAAAAAAATGTATACAAAGGATGAGTGAGTGCCATTTTTATGGGCTAGAAGTCAAAATCTGTGTCAGGAGGTGCTGTGTATGTGGAAGGAGGAGTTGTCATGAAGGAGACTGCTGGACCCCATGCAGTTGCCAGTCTGTTCTGGAAAGAAGTGAAGATGCAGCCACTGTAGATTGATTCTCTTTCTACCTTGTAGGCTTAATTAATTACTGAAATTATAAAAATGACATAAATGATATCTCCACTACTTACCAGGTTTCCTGTAATTCTGTGCCCCAGACTGTAAGTTGTCTCTGCTCAAAGATACCACTTCCCTGGTTTCTAAAAGAGAGTTCCACATGACCCCACTCATTTGTGGTCTCACTGCAGAGCTTCAGGAAGTCTTCCAAGACAGAGGAATTGTATTTCTGTACAATAACAGCTTACAAGAGCATAATATAATTTGGGGTTAAAGGCTGGAATGTAATAAACCAGAATGTTTCTTTACAAGTCTGTCAATTTGTGGAGCAGTCTCACCCATGTGGTGATGTGGTATGGAAAACCCACTCTGTGATATCTTTGAAGCTTGATCCACTTGAAAATACAGTGTAGAAAAAAAATGTCCAATAGGTGGCTGTGAACTAGAAATAATGTAAAACTGTATGCCTTCCAACTTTTATGAATGTGTGCAACTGAGATGATAAGACACAAACTGATCTTCATCTGTTTCACTGGAAATCAGAACTAGGGTAAGAATGCAGGCTTCAAAACCAAAGCCCAGCCTGCATTCCACAACATAATTTTGTTCTCTTATGAGGAAAATTAACCCCACTGCAACATTTGGTGAGGAACTTAGAAAAAGCAGACTAAGGGGAAAAACTACTTTTCACAATAAAACATGGACAGGCAGGCTAGAACTGGGTTTCCATGTTTATGCATAAAAAACAGACCTTATTGCTTGGTTGTGAGATTGCTTTGATAAAATGTCACTAATTCTTAGGGCTTGAAACAGAGCCAGATGAAATCAACAGGAACATTTCTTTGTCTTCAGAGGGCTTGAAGTAGTTATAGGTGGGAAATGTCCTACTGGATTTTATCTAAGAATCTAGGCTGCATTGTTTTTTTTCACATAATTGTTTTTTATTCAGATACTTTAGACTCCTTTGAAAGCACTCATACTTGAAAATATGCCCTTGGGTAATACAGACACTCAGCCAGCTACCATATGAAAGGATATTCTGGGTAAACTTTCAGTTGTCACCTGTGCTGATCTATGATGCACATCGCTGCTTCTTTGCAGCAACTGTTCTAAAGATAATCCAGGGTTGGTTAAGTACCTTGCATAATCTAATTTATGCTAGAACTGGCAATTGATGCTGGTCTGTATGGAATAAATGTTGTGCTGAACAATCAGGTCCACAGATGCCACTGAGATGTATGTGAATCAGAACAAGTTTATGAGTTACATGTTAAAATAGTTTAAAATTGAAAGTTGTTACAGTGGATCGTTGATAGGTGTTAAAATTCAAGTGCAGGCAGAGTAAGCTGAAAGATATTTTTGCATTTGGTGGGCCAAATCTAAATCACCTTATTCTGCTTTCACTAAAGAAAAATATTTAAAAGAATAAAGATTCTGATTGTATAAGTACTTGAGGTTTATGTTACATTAAGCTTCAGTAGGGAACTCTGAAGTCACAGGTGAAAAAATAAAGGTCACTGTGCTGTGCAGAGCAGCTCACATTTTCTTTGATGACAGGACTCATCTTTGGGGGTCAAGTTGCCTCTGTACTGTTTGTCATGGCTGAAGTGCAGATTTAACCTGCCTCTTCAAATGGGGGAACAGTGCATTTTAAAAATTATGATTTTTCAAATGTAAAATTAATTATTTATGCTTTCTTTTGTTGCCTGTGTTACTTTGAAAGTGCCACCACCCTTCATAAACAGCAAGAACAATGACATACAAAAAAACTGCCAACTTGGAATCAAAGGTTTCAGCAGCAACCAGAATTCCTCTTAGTAGTTAATGGCTGGTAAGAAGCTAAATTACTGTACAGGAGCACCTGACTCTGTAGCTGATCTGCTATAATAATAATAATAATTATAATAACAACACTGCAGTTCTAGGTTGGCCAGCTGGTGCTGGATTTGTCCAAGATTAGTTTTCTCAAGAGAGCTGGCAGCAGGACTGAGGCACAGGCTGCAGTGCCAAGGAAGGTTGGTGGAGCTTGTTTGAACCATGACTCAAGACTGTGACTGTCCAGTTGTGGGTAACTTGCTTTTCTGGCTTGTCATGAATTAGTTTAAAAACAAGATTATGAAGGAACTAGTTTTCATATATGCTCTGCATATGTGTGTGTATATAAGTAGAGTTTTATATTGTTATGCTGACATGTAGTGGTTTTTTCACTATGTCTGGTTCTCATTTACTGCACATTGTATTCTGTAAGTACATTTTTTTGTTAATAATTATTTCACCTTTATGAAATTAAAGCTACAACCTGAAGGTAGCGAGAAGATGGAGATACAGAGAGGTACAATTGTTGACTTGCCAGTCATGCACGAAAATGGCATATTGTAGGAAAATGTTTGTCTTGCAGACTGAGAAAACTAAGAAAAGGTAATGATTATCCAAGAATCAGGACTCAGAAGTTACACTAAAAAAAGAAAAAAAAAGAAAAAAACACAATTTTGTTCATGGTACAGCAAGTCTGTTTTAAGTGCTACACTATTCCATGGGTTTGTGTCAATACCTGGAAAAGTTACCTATCATCCCTTGTCTTCACTAATCCTTTGTGGCACATGGTAATAACCGTGACTAGATAAATTACATATGTGAGCATTCTGACAATAATCAGACCTTTCAAGTACAATGATGATATATTTTACTACCCTTAATTATTTAAACCGAAGTCAGTGTAAAGTTTTCTGTTTAAAATCACCTACTAAGTACTCTTCCTCTGTTTTGTTTATATAAGAGCTTCGACTGGGCTGGACCCACTCGCTTCATGTATGGGATGCTGCAATCTGTTAATACTTTACCTTCTGTTTTACTTATTAATTGTATCATACCTAATAATATTTTTTTGCCCTAAAATGTAGGTTTTGTGTTTTATTTAACCTTTGATGATTAATGCTAATAAATGTTTTAAGTACTTCTGATTTGGAGATGTCTGGTTTCAATAAAGCAGGACAAAATAGGTCCCATTTTTCACATAATTTGCTCTTGAAAAAGGGCTGTTTATAGTCTATGGATTGCTTACCTGGGATTTAAATGCTACTTGAAACATGTGTGGCTGGCCTTTTAGCAGCAACTGAATGTCTTCCTGGGGGATCCTGCAGTGCAGATGAACAATCAAAAACCAGAAAAGATTATCTGAAAATCCCTTTGATAAGTTACTTTATTTATTAGAAGGGAGGCACATCAGTGGCCAGTATCAGCTTGGAAATTTAGGATAGTAGCTGTCAGTAAAAAGTGAGCTTACCACTTGCTTTGAATAGCAACCATGACTATGGCTCAAAAAACACTTCCTCAGGTATATGTTTTTCTCTTGGTGGTACATTGATTTTTTTTTACCCTACTTAGTATCCCTCAAACTTGCCTTCAGGAGTTAAGTATTAACACTCCCTTAAGAAGTATGCAGTATTTCATACCTCTTAGTGCTATTGTTTCAGGAAGTCTTTAAACTCACCAGAAGTTCTTTGCACTCTGGTTCATATTTTCAAAGCTGTTACCACAGCTATAAGGACTACAAATAAAGGAAAAATGGGGGGTTTGAGCAAGGCTTTCCTAACTACTATGATAAATTCAATGCACACCAGGATGCAAAAGGCACAATAACTCAAATAACCACAGAGCACATTTATTTATATAAGAAGAAACAGTATTTCAAACGGTTATTACATAGGTTGTGAGTTTAGTTACTGCTAGAAGATACCTGGCAGGGTCTGTTCCCTGCTTTAAAACATACACAATCACACTGAAGAAATTACATACCTTATCTCCAGCTATGCATAAATGAAAATTAACCCAGGTGCATAATTGTAAACTGTAAAAGGTGATGTACTTAATTCAAGGAAAGCCGCTCTTAATGATTACTAGTGTTGGAAAATTGAACATTTGGAACACTGTTTCCTTGAGAGTTGTGCCCCTCAATGGATCAGTCCTTGCTTTGTCAATGGGATGTTTTACATTGCTTGGAAGCAAGTTCTTGTAGAGTTTTAGGTTAATTTAGAGTTGAATTTAGCAATGAGAAGGGAGCTGCATGATTGCCTGTAAAATAAACCTCCTCTGATTTCCTTTTGAGGACTGAAGGTTGTGTCTCAGGGTACTTAAGGAAAAGTATTTGACATTTCAGCCTTCCAAATCTTTATGACTGCATCTCATTCAAAATCTTCATGACTGAGGCTTTGGTCTTTCTGCAAAGAGCATCATTGGACTCCCTGCCGTGATCTCCTGAGTGCTGTTCTGAAATCAGGACAGCAAAGCTGATGAAATCTGTGTATTTACTTTATACCTCCACCTCCTCACCTAATCTGTAAAAGTGTTTAGGCTGTCATCAGGTTTGTCTTTGCCTCTCTTTCCTGAAGGAAAAACAGCCAATCGTGGGAATTTTCCCCCCCTCAGTGTTGTTTAAACAAGGGTACATAAAAATTTTCTTAAAAGCATTAAAACACTCATAGACTGGGTAAAACTGTTTGTGCAAATGCCTCCATTAAATGGTG